ATATAACACTACAAAACGCATATAGGTGAAGTTATACAGTATTTCACTTACCATTTTATTACCGTTCAAAGTTTATCACACAGTCACATATGTTTGATAATATTTGAATTTTAATATTTTTTTTACAAATTATAATGAACTGAAATTTTGTAGGTGTGTGTGCATTAGTGAGATGCACATAAATAAAATATAAAACAAATAATTTTAATGATAAAAATGATGCAAAATACCCCTATAAAATATTAGGGGTAAATTTAAAATCACTTTTTTCTTTTTTAGCATTATTAATCTAATGATGATAACGCTATATAAAAACTTTGGGAATAAAAAAATACTTCTTAGGTCTATGTCTAACCATCTCAATAAAATGGACAGCTTATAGTAATTGGTAGTATAAAAACTTTCTATAGCATTTTTTTAAAATTTTCCTTTTTGTGATTGTTCTTCATAATGAAAAGAATGTACATTTAAAAATTTGTATCAAATAAATGTCTCTCACATAATTTTTGAAGATAGTTTCACTATACTACTATACAACCATTTCCCTTTATATAAGTTTCCCTTCGTTGAATTAAATTTTGGCAAGAAACAAACTAGTACCTGATACAGTACTTTCGTTAATGGAAATTTACTCCAAAAGCTGAAGTACCTTCCACCCCATAATAGCAATATTCAGATATATTTAAAACCCCTCAAATTGCAATGAATTCAACTTAATGAAAGAAATATTTTAATTTACTGCAAAAGCTAAAGTACCTTCCACCCATAATACAGATGCTCAGATAAATTTAAAGCGACCACTCAAATGGGAAATAAATTCAGCCTAATGAGAAAAGTTACCTATAAATTCTCACATTGCTCTCCCCTTTCCATCAAATAGATTTTAAGGATGAGGAGAGAGAGAATGAGAAACCAACTTTCATTGTTACTCTTTCTCTCTCTTCTTCCCTTCCTCTTCATGAAGGTGAGACCACAACAACAGTTGGCTCCTGCTCTGTACGCTTTCGGCGACTCTTTAGCGGACGACGGCAATAACAATTTCTTAGTTTATCTCTCCAGATCAAACTATGCCCCCTATGGCGTAGACTTCCCCAATGGTCCCACGGGAAGGTTCACCAATGGCTACACATCTACTGATATAATTGGTCGGAATACATTCTCTCTCTTTCTCATACACAAAATTATGTTATTTGCTGATCTACTCAGTTCTACTAATTATTAGCAAGGTTTAAAAAATTGGTGAATCGGCATAAATATCGGAAGCTGGGTCGTTCTAGCCGGTTCTCTGATAGAACCATCCCCACTTTTTTTTATATTTTTTAATTTGTTTTGTTCCCTAATGTTTTGAAATTTTTATTGGCCAGTTCATGTCAGCGGGATTGCCTATCAGAACCGGACCCGAGTCACCTCTATGGATGATCTAAAATCCAAGAGATTTATGGTTCCAAAGAATCTGTCCTTTTACTCCCTTGGGTAAAACTCAATTTAGGAGTGATTTAAAATCCCAAATTTTGGATATGTACCATCGCTGACCCGTAGGCTAAAGAATTCAAAATCACACACTCTACGCACTTGAGAAAAATAATGTCCGAAGATTGATTGGACAAGGTCCAATTTTTTATGGAGGGATCTAAGTTTTAAAAAGCTTAAAATACAAATTATATTTTTCTGAAAATAATTATCTTGTGATTCTTAGTCAGTTCACATAATTTTAGATTAAAAAAATCAGTTGAAGTAGGTCTTCTACTCAAGGGATTAGATGAACAATATGCTCTCGTGTGAGCATAGTATGATTAAGTACGACGGTTTAGAGAATGAGGTATCGAGTAGGGGTTGGCTTGGGCTAGGCCTGCCCATGCCCCGCCCATTAAGCTAATGGGCGTTAAATTTAGTCCCAGCCCCAGTAGACCCTATAAAGTGGCTAGACCTCGCCCATGAAGGACCTATGTATGATGCCCGTCTCGACCCGTTAACCCGACTGAAAGTCATGCCCCACTGGAATCCTATGGTCTGTATGAAAGAGCCCAAACCTGGCCATGTTAGGCTGGATCTTTGAGGACCTGGCTACTTTGGGCTGGATCTTTGATGTCCAACATTTAGAGATGAAGGTCGGATTCAAAATTTTGGAAAATGAAAATCTTAACCATAATGTGTAGGAAACTAGAAAAAGAAAATAAATTTTTTTTAAAAAAAAAATTGTTAAAATCTTAACGATGTCAATTTTGATTTTTAGTAGGACCACCATTTTTTAACACCCACCTACAAGATGGATGTTTAATGTGTCAAGGCACGCTATTGTAGAAGTGTCTCCCTTGACACATGGACTGTTTTTCGTTTATACTTTCATACTATGATCCGATCATCGTTAATTTAAAGTTTTTTTTTTTTGGTAATTCAGTGGGAAAGACAGGCCCTATCCGTTTTTTCAAATGGTTTAGAAGTTGGTCATTTGAAGATATTAGTGGCGTGGTGTCAATGAAAACCACAGCATGGTGACTTAGTTGTGGGGTACTACCACCGTGACTCCAGCCCCTTTACCGAATTAAATTACATTAATTTTGATTTTCCTTTTTCAATTTTCCTCTTCATTATCCATGTTTGAGTTGTTATGGATTCTCTAATTCATTTTATTATGTGGAGTGCAGCTCAGCTACTCGGACTGCCACTTCCTCCCCCATATTTGAGTATCACTTCAGCAAAAATCTCCAAGGTCGTCACAGGAGCCAATTACGCTTCAGGATCAGCTGGCATACTCGACGAGTCCGGGAAAACATTCGTATTGTTCTCTCTCTCTCTCACTACAAAGCAATGATTAGAACTTGCCGAGTCCGACTCAGACTCGAAAGGATGTTTAGTCCAATTGTAAATTTTAGATAGCCCACCCAGTCTCACCGGTTCCCAAGGTTCTGTTGTTAAATTTTTTAAGACTCAGCTGAGGCTAACTAGAACTTGGCTAAATATATGCCAGCCCGGGTTTAGGTTTAAAATACTGCTACAATATCCTAAGAGCGGCAATGGGCTGCGTGGAGAGGCATGGCCCAGTTGTCTCGGCCCTAAAAACTAGAGCCTGGGCCACAAACTGTAGCCCGACGGTTGGGCTGGGCCAGGGCCATGACAAGGTCAACCCATTTCGGCAAGTCCTAGCTTGGCTCACCCCTGATAAGGCTAAGCCAGGGCCTAAGCCAAGGCTTGTTTGACCAATCAAGGCTGGGCTTGGCTTGAGCCAGCCCTATAGGGTCCAGGGCCAAGCTAGGACAAGGTTCTCACGCATGCACTGAAGTGCACACCCCACACACAAACACACTGAATTCACCCCTCTCTCTCTAATACCCAGTTTGGTTAGACACACAGGTGATTTAAAAAACTGATCAATGACATGAGTCTAGCATCCAAAAAAGCGGTCGTGATCAGTGAATGGGCAATCCAAATGGTCATTTTAATGTGCAAAAAAAAAAGATAGTGAACTGGCAAAAAAATAATGAATCGGTCAAAACCAGGTTCAGATCAATGTATCTGTGGTCTGTGGTCCGGATCGTTGTTTTACTGTGCGTAACCGCCGGTTCCCTTCGAGACTCGGCTGTTTTTCTATATATACGTATAACTGAAATGAGGTGACCCGGATCAGACGATTCCTTACCAACCTGACGTTTTTTAAATCATTGAACATACACCATGCATTAAATTCAACCTTTCTCTCTCATTCTTGCAATATTTCATTGGCATTTCTCTTTCTTTGTAGGGCGAACGGCTGCCTTTCAATAAGCAGCTCGATTTATTTCAAAAGACGGTGCAACAACAATTGCCATCACAATTTAACAGCTCTCAAGCTCTTCAACAACATATCTCAAAATCCATTTTCATGGTTCAGATAGGGAGCAACGATTATCTCAATAACTACCTCCTCCCTGAATACTATCCAACCAGTCGAGATTATACTCCACCTGCCTTTGCCAATCTTCTGACTCAAAATCTCTCTCAACAATTGACGGTAAGATGTTTGAATTCATAATACACACAACATGATACTTGCATTGAAAAAACTGGGATTGACTTGATTCTTAGTTAGAATAAGAACCGGTCCAATTTAGAGGGTACTCAACACGTTTTATTAGGCAATCAAGCGAGTCTGTTTGGAAATTCAATGATTTGGATACGGTGAATTGTTTGGTTCTCATCCATTTTATTTTTTATTATTTTTGTTTTTTAATTATTTTCAAATTTAAAGTATCATTGAGATTTTTTGACCCATTATTATATTGGAAAATCGGTCTGATCCAGTGGGAATTAACAATATGGATCAGTCCAGTTGGTGACTGATCCATTCATTGATCAGGTTTTTAAGCACTATATCATAGTATTTGAAAAATAGCCACTCCGAATCGGGTATCATTTGCTTAAAGATCTAATTCTTGGAATGAATAGGGCAGTTTGCCCTATATATGCAATAAGGTATTTTCCTTCTCCTTTTTTCTTTTTTGCTGAATCGGTCATTCGCTTGACCCATATTGTCGACCCCGATCAAAATCAGTGGGTATGAAATCGACCCTGCCGATCCATCTTTTAAAACACAATATCAAACCAAACAAAATTGTGCTATTTTTGCATATTGAATATACGTATGCATCACACAACATGCATACGATATATAGATTCAAGTGCTTTCATATACATGCTACCAAGTGTGGATGACTCTTGGGAGCATACTATACACTAAAGCCTGGGTCCTATTTGAGAAATTTCTTTATATGAAATTTTAGGAGTCACTTTAGAATCAACAAACAAACGAGCATATAAAAAAAATGAGGATTTTGATTTTTAAATACTTAGATCTGATCCTCCAATTTGTCTTTATTATACGTTAGGACGGTTCTTTTTAGGCACTAATAAGAATTCTTTTTGGAAGCTAGTTGGTTCATTCAGGAAGTTTAACATCCCTAAAGTTGAGATATTAAGAATACTTTTGGGCAGTGTTTTACCTAAGGGAATGAATGTGCGTTTGCTTCTGTGGGAGCATGTAATCTTTGGCAAGAATTGGAGTGGTCATTGAACAGGTCATGGGTCCGGTATCGAAAAAACTTGTTTGAATACCGATCAAATTAGTTGCAATAGATTTTTTAAGAAATAAAGAAAATCAGGTCTAATTGTTTAGCATGTGAAACATATCGCAATATATAAAAGAAAAGTCTGCAATGAGATCATTTATCTTTTGAACATGATGGTCACAATTAATCTTGACCTCTAGATGTGAAATTGGGTGGTTGTATTTATTCTGTTGATCAAGCACAAAGTTCAAAAAAAATTTTGTCGAACCTTATGACACACTCAAGTTATCAAATTTCACATCGGATGGTTATAAGCAATTGTTTCCTTGTACAATAGGTAAAAAGTCTCATTGTATAAAATCTTATATATGAAATAACATTTTTTTTAAAAAAAAATAGTCTAAATTGATTTAACCATTTTAATAAATCAAAATCCATCGTTCCGACTAGCAAAAAAAATTAGACAAAGCCAATTTTTCAAGTCATAGCCTAAAAAGAGCACTAAAAAGAAGAGTTGTGATGTAGCATGCGAAAATCTTAAAGTTCAAATCCAGTTTTAAAGACACAAACTATTTGTTTCTTGTTTGTTTTGACAGAGGCTATACAAGCTTGGGGGCAGGAAGATAGTCGTGATGGGACTGGGTCAATTATGATGCACTCCCAACCAAATCGCGAGGGAGGGGACCAACGGCACTTGTTCAGATCGAGTGAATAACATCGTTGCACTTTTCAACGACCAGCTTCCCCCCCTCTTAACCACCCTCACCTCAACGCTTAATGGATCAATCTTCGTCTATGGAAATCTTTTCGGACCCATGTCAAACATGACCTCCAACCCCTCCACTTTTGGTGAGATATTAGGAACCTAGTCCTATCTCTCTATCTCTCTTAGGGCTGTCCCATGGACCTAGCCCCCATATGGCCGGGCTAGGACTGGCCAGGGCTTAACAGTTGGCCCTGACCCTAGCCCTAGCCTTAGCCCCGGCCAAGGCTGGACAATTGGCCCTAGCCCAAGCCCGGCCCTAGCCCTATCAAGGCCAAGCCAAGTAGAGCTGGGCCAAATAGAATTGAAGAAAAATACAAGAAAAAAATGAAGATAAAAAGGGCCTTGCTGGGTGGAATTAGGCTGGCCTTGTCATGACCCACGCCCAGCCTGACCATACCCTCGAACCGTGATGGCTTGGCCCTTCTCTCACCCTCTTCTCTCTCTCTCTGTTATGGTTAAACAAAGGTACCCAAAAGACCTCTCTCTCGTCCCAATCCTTGAAGTTATGGTTAAACTTAGGTACCACCGAAAGAGCTCTTTCGGTAGTTTTACAGGTAATGTAAAAAGAGCTATATCAACTCTCTTTCTCTTGGTACTAGTTATCATCACTTCGAAAACAATATTACGAGGAAACACGTTTATACAAGGTGTCAACGTTATACTGTCCAAGTAAGGTGCATCTCAATTATTTGGTTTTTAAAAAACCCTCCAATTGATCACCTGTACTTGGATATATATAAATATGAAAGAAAATTTGAATTTTAAGTATTAATAGTAGTACATATTACAATACATTATCTAGATAGTCCATTATTAATATATTGTTGATAGATTTGCAATATTTTTTGAGCTTTTAATTTCATAATATATATGAAAAATACATTTTAGGACGATCATAAGAGTTTCGGCGCCTAAAATACATATTATAATGAGATTTTGGGGTGCACCTTACCATGATTGTTTAAGGTTGACACCTTATACAAACCTCACCCATGTTATTAGGCCTTCTTTGATAACTGAGAAAGCTATTTTCCTAAAGAATCTCTAACAAACTGGAAGTTAGAGAAAAAAGTAGAAGTAGAAAACTCTTGGCTTTTGGTAATCTGTCTGTGAAAACTGGAGAAAGCTCAGACGAGAGCTTGGCCAAAGGGAGATTGAGTGCGGAGAGAGATGGTTAGGTTAGAGAAATAAAAAGGAGATATAGGGGGGTCTCACATTTCTCCTTTTTCCTTAGAAATCAGGTAAACAGTAGTTTTCCCTAAAATTAGAGAAAAATGTGGAAACACGAAAAACTGTGGGGCTCCACATTTTCATATTTTTCCTTATACCCAAACAAAAAAGGGATTATGGAGTAATTTATCATTATACTCAACAAAACTTGGACACCTATATACCTTTTTTGTTTTGTATGTGGAGCTTTTGTAGTAAGGGTATTTTTGGTCATTAAGAGGGGTGTGACATCACCCATATGAAGCACACTAGTGGCATTTAATGGTCCATGAAGGTGATGTCACACCTCTCCTAATGACCAAAAATACATTTATTAAAAAAATAGAAAAGTTTATATAAAGTTGCAACTTTAAAATATAGAACAATGGATGCAACTCAAAAATCCATCGAAAAAGGTTGTTTTAATACTGAAAAACCCTCTAATTGATCATCTCGATATCGAGATGGATGACAATAAAAAAAAAAAAAAAAGGATTTTAAGTTCCAAAAATGGTGCATCGTACAACACGTTATCTAGACTGTCCATTTTCAAGATTTTCATGTATTTATAGATCTACTTGATTTTAATCGTTTTTTGAGTTTAAAATTTTATAATTAGATACGAAAATAGATTTTGGGATAATCTTAAAAATGTTTTACATCAAAATTATATGTTATGATAAAATTTGAAGATGCACCTTAAATGGATTGTTTAAGGTTACAACCTTATGGAAACCACACCTTTAAAAAAAATGCTCAATATACAAAACAAGGGTATATAAGTGTCTAAGTTTTGTTAAGTACAATGATAAATTATTCTATAGTGTAAGCACTTAACATAACCCAAAAAAAAAAAAACATCATAACTTGGAAAATAAATATTTTCTCATATAACAAACAAGGCCTTAAATCCAAAATGTGACTCTCACACCACCAATATAGAGTTGAGTTCATGTAACGAGTTGTATAAGATGAAGATAACTAAAGTGCTCACTCTCTCATCTCTCAAATTATGGATAAGACTTCAAATACCCAAAGTCTTACTCTGTCTCAACCAATCTCCAATCCCTCCTCTCTCTCTCTCTCTCTCTTTAAAACCAATGTTAATGGAATTTGGATTGGATTGTTGCAGGAATGTTGGTGACCAACAAGCCTTGTTGCGTGGCGGATGTGTCGGGAAGCACTCTGTGCCGCCCACTCCTACCACCGTGCCGAAACAGGGAGCAATACCTCTTTTGGGACGGCGTCCATCCCACCCCAATCCTCAACGCCCTCTTTGCAAACGCATGCTTCAACCAATCCACAACACTATGCTCTCCCCTCAATATCCAACAACTCACTCGAGCCTAGTCGCACAAGGCCTATTTATGCCAATCGATTCACAAAACAAGGGGCGTCTATGTAGAATTTGCTTATTTCATATGTTTTCCCTTTCTGATTGGCTGTAATCTTGGACTAAATAATAAAGCTTTAATACGATTGTTAATAAAATAAAATAAAATAAACACATACACTCTCTCTCTCTCTCTCTATGGATAGTAAAACTCAGCCAAGAGCGAGCATGGTACGCTCTCTCTCTCACCAAACAATGTATTGTTCTCTATAACTCTCCCAATGTTTGTTTTCCATTACAATGTGTTGATTACTATGTAGAGGCATGGTTCCGTGACTTGGTCCAGTCCACTTAGACTCAGCCAAGTTATTCGAATAGTGGCTGTAGAGAGTGATGATCGACAAAGATACACCTTGAATTAGGGGTGAGAATTTCCATGATTGGATTCGGATCTACTTAGATTTGAATCCGGGTGGATTTCACTTTGTAATCTTCC